ACCGGGAGGTGGGGGCAGGGGGGCACTGGGGGGCTGCGGGGCGGGCGCTGCGGGCAGGGGCCGCACGGGGGGGGAGCTGTGGGAAGGGGACACTGGGGGCAGAAGGGCGGGGGGCACCGGGAGGTGGGGGCAGGGGGGCACTGGGGGGCTGCGGGGTGGGAGCTGCGGGAAGGAGACACGGGACGGAAGGGCGGGGGGCACTGGGGGGCTGCGGGGCGGGAGCTGCGGGAAGGGGACGCAGGGGGTGGGAGCTGTGGGAAGGGGACACTGGGGGCTGTGGGGCTGGGGCGCACCTGGAGGCAGCGAGGATGGAGGCGTTCAGCCCCCCGAAGCAGGACAGGGCCACGGCCAGGGGGATGGTCCAGTTGAAGACACCGAAGACGCGGTCGGCGAAGCTCTGTGGGGAGACAGGGGGTGAGAGCCCGGCAGGGGCAGGGAGTCACCCCAACCCCAGCCCCGCCCCCCCCGGGGTGCTCACCAGGGCCGGCTCTAGGATTTTTGCCACCCCAAGCAAAAACAATTTTGGCCGCCCTCTCCTCCCCCCCGCCCCACCTCAACTCCGCCCCTTCCCCAAATCCCCAGCCCTGCCTCCTCTCAAGCCGGGGCGGGAGGGAGGGGGAGAAGCAGCGCCAGGCCGCGGCCACTCGGGATCTCCCCCTCCCTCCCGGGTTTGAGAGCCTGGGAGGGAGGGGGAGCAGCGGGCGCGAGCGGCAGCAGCGGAGGTGAGTTAGGGCGGCCGGGGCACATTTTTAGGGCCAGAATGCCGCCCCTAGAAATGTGCCGCCCCAAGCACCAGCTTGTTTTGCTGGTGCCTAGAGCCGGCCCTGATGCTCACCAATAGGGGGACCAGACGTCCCCCTCCCCCCCCGCTATTTTCGTCATCTCATCTGGTCACCCCCCCACACTCACCACGGCCACGGCGTCGCTGGCCAGCAGCTCGGCGGGCGCCAGCACCGTGTAATAGGCCACGTTGGTCAGCAGATAAATGGCCGTCACCACCGGCATGGAGACCGCGATGGCCAGCGGCAGGTTCCTGGGGGCCGGAGCCGGGTCAGAGCCGGAGCCTCACCCCGGGACCCCCCCAGATCCCCCCCCACTCACAGACCAACCTGCCCCCCCCCAGACCCACCCCACTCACCCCCCCAACCCGGCCCCCCCCAGACCCACCCCACTCACCTCCTGACGCGGCCCCCTACGGACCCTCCTCACTCACCGCCCAACCCCCCAAGTCCTTGCAACTCACTGACCCTGGGGTCCCCCAATGATGCCCCCCAGCCCCCGGTCCTCCCCCCGAGGCAGCTTGGGGCAAACATGCCAGGGGGGTTAAACAACCCTGCAAATGAAGCGGGACAACAAAGTGAAGGGAAAGCTCAAGACCCTTCTCCCTGGCACAGCCCCCGCCCCGGACACTGGGGGCGCTATGGCTCCAGGCCACACCCCCTGCCCCGCAGGCTGGGGGGCAGGGCAGGTCCCACCTCCGTGCGTGGGAGATCCACGGGGAAGACTGGGGGGGTGAGACCAGTCCCAGCTCAGCAGGGGCAGATCTATTTTGGCAGGCCCTGGCCCCCAGGGAGCAGCACCCACCTCTCGGGGTTCTTGATCTCCTCGGTGACGAAGTTGAGGGTGTCCCATCCAGAGTAGGAGAAGAGGGCTGAGTACAGGGCCAGGGCCAGGTCCCCCACGGCCAGCGAGGAGCCCGCAAAGGGGTCAGCGAAGTGCTCGGAGTGTCCTGCAGGGGGAGGCAGGGAGTTGGCCAGCTGGGGGGGCTGCGGGGCTAGAGTGAGGGGCACCGGGGCAGGAGTGAGGGGCACTGGAGTCTGCGGGACAGGAGTGAGGGGCACCGGCAGAGCAGGGCTGGGCTGGCAGGGGGTTGCAGGGCGGGAGTGAGGGGCACTGGCAGAGCTGGGGGGGCAGAGCGAGGGCTGGGCGTGGCGAGGGGGTTGCGAGGGCGGGAGTGAGGGGCACTGGCAGAGCTGGGGGGGCAGAGCGAGGGCTGGGCGTGGCGAGGGGGTTGCGAGGGCGGGAGTGAGGGGCACTGGCAGA